TATTTTTTGGAAATAATAAATGTAAAAATCTATAAATAACATTAGGCAATCAGAATGATGGTATAGTGAAATGTATTTACCGTATTTAGAAATTTGTATTTACTCTGTGTGTATATATACATGTATACAAATAAATATGTATACAGTATATACACATATATAAACATATATGTGTGTGCATATATATATATATATAGTCTGTAGCGTATCCTATTTGCTTTATTCTTTTAGATTTTTATGTTTTTTAGAAATTACAATTAAGAAAAGCAAGACATGCTGATGACCATAATACTGTGTACAGTATCTGAGTGACTATGGGATTTTTTACTTGGATAAATCAAACTATTCCAAAGGATATAAAAAGACGCAGTACAGATGGCTTGGATACTAAATATTTGTGGCCTGGTTTAGTCAAGTTGGTAAGGAAGGTAAGGAACCAGAACTTCCTACCAGACGAGTACATTTCTATCACTTAACGTAACTTTTTGTCATTTAAATTCAAAGGCATCACTGTCTGAAGTTCAACTCGGTTTCATCTCATGACTGTGACCTGGGATTGATTTGTGTTGTTGTTTTTGGGAGGGGGGGGGGGGTGGGGCTGTTGACACTGGCAGATTGGTGGGCAGGAATTCTTAACAGTACAGATTGGGTGATAATGAGAGAGTGCTCCAAACAGGACTTAATTGGCTTTGGCCTTGGACTTCTACGACTTCCTGTCAGAGAAGTCATCTTGGGAGTCATGGCTCTTGGCTGAGGAGAATTCGGGGAAGATGAATCTTCAGTGTGAAGCTGTTATGAGCCTGAGCTGACGAGGGCAGACACTTCAGATCATCTGTGAAACTGTGTGCCTTGATCTAAAAAACATTAAGAGCAGAGTAAATGAGAAATATTTCACTTTTATATTCTTTTAGAGTAAATACTTGTCTTGTTTAAGGGTTTAAAAGCAATTTATTGTTTTTATCAAATGTCAACTGTAGGACTTTACACACTGTGTTGAAGCCCTATAGTATAAAGACTTGGACCAACACTTCTCAGACAACAGCATATTTTTACAGGGGACAAACTATTTAGACATAACGACTTATATACTTATATATCGGTCTAATCCAAACCAAAACTAAATTAAATAATTGTATCAATGGAAAAAAAACATTCTTTCTAAATTCATATAGAAAATAGTACATCCATTCTATATTAAAATGAATTTAAATAAATCCCTAGAACTGTTGTTTCAGTCGCTCTTATGAAATATTCACAACATTCTTTACAGTTATTTTCTAATAATGGGATTTAACTCCCATTAGGGTAAAGTAACGTATATATATTTCTTCAGTAACATTATTTTAGTTTTTCCCTGTATTTACATTTTATGGATATGTTTGTAATTTTAATGAAACTACTTTTTTTCACGTTTTAAAACATGAATTAGAGAAACACAGACACTTGTGTTAATCTTAAATGCATGACACCAATTCCAATTACTGTTACTGGATCATTTTATTTGTTTGTAAAGCGAGGTTAATGCAACTTTTCTTATCCAGATCTCCCCCCACAAAAAAAAAGACCTAAATCTAAATGGGACGACCTCGTTAGTCGACGTTAAATAAACAGCTCTGCCTCCTCCTCCAGTGTTTGTACAGAGATAGTCTCCCAGTATAAAGTCATGCAATCAGGATCTCATTAGAAAATGCAAATGAGAAATCACCAAATCTTAGCGGAGGGGCAGAAGTGTAGCACCGTGGGATAGCTGGAACATGACAGCTCACCAACTGCCCCACGCTGGGCACCAAATGTGACGGACCGCTCCTGCTGCTGCTCTTAACAGGACGTAGGACCAAACCATTAATGTAAACACAGGAGGGAGATGGAGGGAGCGGTCACTCCAGGGCTTCACCTCTGACTGTAAAAAGTTCGAAATATTATTTAAAACCCAACTGCAACCCCATTATATGACACACACACACAGATGGACTATATGTCATCTGTGATACAGATCGCTGACTGTGTGTACATGGTTGTGTGTATATGTAAAAGTTCAAGTCTAGCTTAGATCCAGCAATAACAGCATGTGACAAATGAAGTCCATTATTTATGCAGTGATAATGAACTGCAGTATATTTATGTAAACCATGTCATGTGATTTGGAAAATGCATCTTTGGGTTTTTTTCTGCATAAAAAGCAGCCTATGGGCTACAAAGGCCAAAGGCTGATACCATGTGTGATTAAAGTGATAATTAATTGGGTTTGTATGTGGGTAGGTTGATTGGGTGGGGCGGGGGGTATATTGCAGGAAGAACCAAAGACAAACCTTCAGATCCAATCAGAACCCATTTCTGACAGAATGTCTGTCGTGACATCACAAGCTGTGTGCGAGCAGAATTCCTGGCACGGCCTTTGACCAACAGACCTTCTGCTAACAGCAGGGCACCAGTGGCCTAGGGCACGGCGTCGATGGCCAGGTCACCAGCTTTTTCCTGCCTGGTACTAGCACTGCAGGAGAGGTGACTGGTAGGATGGCAAGATGTCAGACACAGCCCTTTAGATGTGTCAAAAAGCAGCCACAGTCAGGGGAAGGGCGAGGACGGCCACGTCTGCTGCCCAGTGGAAACGCACAACAGCCAGAGTCTGTTTCCTAGCACTCATTTTTAAATGTTTTAAAGGTATACCAAGTGCTTCAACCAGAATCTCAAAACAATTTTCCTCAAAGTTCATTCAGTCTTCAGACATGACAATATATTTGTGACAATTGTTTTTAGTTGACTCCACACATTTTCTATAGTAATAAAACCCATGTCTTTGAGCAGGCTACGATAACTTTCACCTCCTAAAGATAATTCTTCAAAACTTTTTGATGCCATTTTACATAAAACTATGCATTTTGATAATATTTGTGACTATCATTCCCATTCAACTTATTGTATATTACTTTATGTCAGTATTATTATAATTATATTGGGGGTCCTCTGGACCCCTTGTGATCATGGGCCCCTAGAATCATTCAAGCAGTAAATGACCAGTTGATAAAAGTGCAGTAGTGTAGCAAACTTATGGTTATGTCATAGCATCGAGCTGTTCTGCTATGTGGAACAAAAATGTGCTCATGTGTTTGTCAGAAATTTTTTTTATGATATTAAAGGCATGTAAATTCTGTTTTTTAGCACTGGTCTCAAGGTCATGAGTCCTACAATAACCAAACCACTCAGTCAGTTCATCAGCAGAAGTGTATTAGCTTTAGACTGTTTGCTGTTCAAACAGTTTACCCTATCAGTTGATTTGTCATGTTTGATGTGCAGTGTGTTTATTTCAGAGGTGTCGACCTGCTTCTCTAATCTTCTCACTGTCTTTATCATGCTAAATCAGCTCCAGGCACGGCAGCTGCAGCTGAGCAGTGTCTGGACTACAGAGGGGTCTAAAAGGTGCGCCATCAACAGCCATTCAGGGTCAATTAGAGTCTGAAAGTGGTCTGACTTTGAACTGGAGAAGTGGAAGGCAGTGAGAAAGAAACGACCTGATAAGTTTCCAGATGAGAGCTTAAATGACCTGTGAACACAGGGCTGAAATGTGTATTAGAAAGAAAACACTTGGTCGATTTATTTTCCTGGCCGTACGTCTGTTCAGACATACTGGCTTCTTCAATACAAACTGTCTGCTGTATTAAAGGCAAAGCTTATAAAAACATTTTTAAACAAGATGGGCTATTTGGACAAGTATGTGTAAGAATTAAACAATTACAAATACACACCATCTTGCCAATCAACACCTGCTCATGTGACCTGATGACCTCACAGTTTCACATTGTCCAGGTTAGGGTTTTTTGGGGGTGGGGGGTTCTGAAGAATTCATCAGTCCACCTTAAATCTGAGTTGAACTTATATAATACTTTGGTAAACTAATGCACTCACTGTTGACCCACATGGTTTTATGGGTGTCATTTTAAGGTGGATGGACATTAAACAAGCTGAAGATGAGATGAGAAGCTGAGTGTTCTTATACTGAGCTCTGAAGCTGAGACAGTGAGGATCACCTGCCCCTCCCCTGGAGCAGATGACAGGGGATCTGATAATAGGCTGCAATCAGAGCGTCATAGCCAAAAGAGAGAGAGAGAAACAGAGAGAGGAAGAGAGAGAGAGAGAAGGAGCGCGTTACTCTCTCACCGTCGTCATCATCATCATCATCATCATCAGTCTGACTCCACATGCTTTTTATTTAAAGACTAAACTACAAGCACAACATGATGCCGTTCATTTACCGTCAAGAGCTCAGCTTTGCAGGTTAACTTGAACTTTATTTTCATCAGAATACTTGGTCTGGAACAGGAGAAACAGTTTTCTGGTAAGTTTTGTGAATTTTTTAAATTTAACTAAATTAAATGTATTTTACATATTTGTTGCTTAATTAAATGTGAAAGCTATGCTTTATTTTAATGGAACTTTTTGAAACGTTTGTCTATTATTTTAACACAAAGGCAGGTTGTTCCATCGGTAAAAGAAACAAATATTGCGGTTTTTATGTTATTTTGTCATGTGCGATATTGAAGTGTCTGATCCAGGTATCATCACAGGTTTTTTCGAACGGAAAAATAATTGGCTGTATCCCCCCTTTTTTTACGTCGGGAGTCCCATTGGGAGCGCATCAGACAGGATGAACGCAAATTCATTAACTCTGAATACATTAAACCGGATTATCGGTATCACGCTCATATAGCTTAGAAATAAACCGAGTTGTATGTTATACCGAGAGGCTTATGCTTTTCACAGTAAATAACAAATAAAACATAGTCACAAATACACATACATATATCTTCGCACACATTAAAACACATGACGCTCTATCTAAGATCGTCATGTGTTTTAATATTTCTTGTCAGAATTACACAAAAAATATAACCTACCTTACATTTATAAAACCGTTTTTTTAAATCTAAAAATAAATATCTTAAACACATCCTTTAATCACATCTGTTAATTTGATGTGTTCATGTTGTGACTAATTCAACTGTGTTCAAGTTAATCAGACATCTTCATTTCTGAACTAGAAACATGAATAATGAACAAGACAAGTAAATGACAAAAATCTGATAAATGGGATAAAAGTGACAAATAAAAATAAACTATAAATACGAAAATTTCTTGGCGGATAAATGAACGGGATTTACCGGTGTGAAGTTCAACCACACCCTGGTACACACAGAACAGTCGGCCCTGATGTGGTGGACACTTTTTACCTGACCCTCATCCTGTCACATATTAACCTTGTAACCTGATAATGTTGCAGAATTCGGGGAGACAAAGCGAGTGTCAGGGAGAATAGAAAATAATTTCACTGACTTGTGGATCGAGAAAAAATATCTGGAAAAGTTCGAAGACAAGAGACAAGATCTGAGTGAGAAGGAAAAAAAAGATAGCAATGCTCGGTGAAGATGGAGAGAACAGCGCTTTCTCCTCCACCAAGGAGGCTGCGGAGGAGCGGCGGAAGTCTCCACCCGTGAACGGAGAAGATCTGAGCGCCCGGAGCAGGTACTCCGAACCCGAGGTGACCTCTGACCGATACTACGTTCCTCCAACTGTTTCCAAGCAGAGTCCTGAGACAGTCAGTCCCTGCTCGTTTTTTCCCTACCCGCCTAGAGGAACGGTTTACACACCACCCGGCGCCCCCGGCAGTTACCCGTCATCCCTCCACCTGGGATCCGTGTTGCCCTCAGCGGGCTTTTCTCCCACTGCTGCCGGACGCAGTCACTTCAGTTCTGCCTACCAGTTCGGACAGAGCCCCGGCTGTATCTACCCACCCTACACCGGCTCGGGGTCAGCGATCGGCGGCATGACTTTAACCACAGCCACCCCGGGAGCCAGGGCCCAGGTGTACCTGTGCAACAGACCGCTGTGGCTCAAGTTCCACCGGCACCAGACGGAGATGATCATCACCAAGCAGGGCAGGTGAGAACAGCAGTTATGGCCATTTTTACTGGTGTCTAAAAATGTTCGAGGTTTTATTTTAACACAAATTTAGTGACAATTGTGCGCGTTTCTTCCAGGCGGATGTTTCCATTTCTGAGCTTTAACATCGCTGGTCTGAGTCTGACTGCCCACTACAACGTGTTCGTGGAGGTGGTTCTGGCGGATCCGAACCACTGGAGATTCCAAGGTGGAAAGTGGGTCACATGTGGGAAAGCGGACAACAGCAGCCAAGGTAAAAAAAAATTACAAAATTGACGGAGACATTTGTTGAAAACATTTGTTCATTTTTTGTTCATGTTCCGTTTTAATAATAGTTTCTTTTTCTTTCATCTCAGGGAACAAAATGTATATTCACCCGGAATCTCCAAATACAGGCGCTCATTGGATGAGGCAGGAAATCTCCTTCAGCAAACTCAAACTGACCAACAACAAAGGGGCCAGTCACAGTACTTCACAGGTCAGACATGCGACGGCTCCACCGTGCTTTTATTCTGGTATCGTTTAAGTGAAAAGCAGATGAGCGTATGTTACATTCTACCAAATATATTTATTCTGGAAGACAAGTCGGATAGTTTATTTTTATTATTATTTTATATTAGATATATATTAAAAATAACTTTACCACCATATGTAGTGTGTTTTAATTAATGACCGCCATTGAAATGTATAATAATATTAATAATAATAATACACATCACTTGCTGTTAACATTATATTTAATATTGTTTATGACGTATGATTGTAGATGGTCGTGCTCCAGTCGCTGCATAAATACCAGCCCAGGCTCCACATCGTGGAGATGACGGAGGAGGGAGTAGAGGACGTGAACCCTGACCTTAAGACTCAGAGCTTTACTTTTCCAGAGACACAGTTCATTGCTGTCACTGCCTACCAGAACACAGATGTGAGTGTGGACCTCTTATTTTCTTTATGGCCATTTGGTTGAATAATTACGTTTTTTCTTTGTATTGATTTATAAATGTTTAACAAAATTATTTTTCCCCTCTTTCAGATCACACAGCTGAAAATTGACCACAACCCTTTTGCCAAAGGATTCAGAGATAATTATGATTCGTGAGTACTTTTGGTATTTTTTTTAGAATTAATACATTTATAAAAAATGTAAGAATTGTATAAATAAATGTCACAGATTTAATCTGATGTTCATTATAAGGGTGTGGTTTTTTTTCTGGGACACAAACACTGGAACTGGTGATTGTTTTTTTTTTGCTTAAACCTGTATAAGACCTTTAAATGCCTGGTCTTAATTCTCTAAGGAAAAGCCATAATGTCATGATTATTTTAATCTAAAAGACAGAAAAATAACATTTTTGTACAATTTATCAGATAAGATATTCAAGTTAAGTAAAAGCACATTTTATATTTCATCTGGGAGGATGCAAAAACCAGCGCAGAACATTTCCCTATAACCCCATCAAAACAACAGATGCTGCTCCTGCTCCATGTCATACTAACATGCATCTCCCTGCACAGACTTATGTTTATCCACTTCTGTATTTTCAAGGATGTACACAGCTCCAGAGAACGACCGCCTCACACCTTCACCAAATGACTCTCCACGCTCCCACCAAATCGTTCCCGGTGCACGCTATACCATGCAGCCCCTCTTCCAGGACCAGTTTGTCAACAACCTCCCCCAGAATCGCTTCTATAACAGTGAGAGAGCAGTGCCGCAGACCAACAGCCTCCTCTCGCCTCAGTCTGAGGATGGAGCGTCTCAGAGATGGTTTGTCACCTCCATGCAGCAGGGAGGAAACAGCACTAACACCAACAATAAGCTAGATCTGACACCCTACGAGAGTGAATACTCCAGCACGCTGATTCCGTATGGTATTAAGTCCCTGTCCATGCAAACATCCCATGCTCTGAGTTACTACACAGACTCTCCTTTCAACACCATGTCGGCCGGATGGGGGTCAAGAGCAGCATACCAGAGAAAAGTTACCCCCAGTTTGCCCTGGTCCCCTAGACCCAGTCCTGCTGCAGGTTTCCCTGAAGACTCAGTCAAAGCTAAGCAACAGATAGAGGAGGATGTGAATGACAGTGGAGGTCTGATCTCCTCGTGGACAGAATCTCAGTCGTTGGCTCTAACCCAGGACAAGGCTGATTCTTATGGCATGGCCTGCAAACGCAGGAGATTGTCTCTCAGTGGCTCCGGCTCAGTGGACTCAGCAGCTGATGTTAAATGTGAAGACTTGGCCTCAATTGCTAGCAACAGTAGTTCCTACAGCAAAGAACCACCTACATCTAAAGCCATGGCAGCGTACTATTCCTTTTACACCACCCCTTGAATCCTTGGTTTGTTAGTATCTGTTAAGTTGTTTGTTTACAATCATTTTGTAAATGTGAAGGCAGATTTTGTTTTGGTGTTAATTTTCTCATATGTTGTGCTAAAATGATGAAACAGATTTTTCTTTAACTTTAAAAAATTAAATAGTACATGTGGAAAATGACACCTCAGATATTTACCTTGGCTTTATGTATGTTTTCTTGTTACATAAATTGTTGTATTTGGCTCTACATTGAGATATTGTGTTTTAGAAAATAATTTATTGGTTGAAAGCCGAGTGAAATGGAACCTGTGTAATAATACTGTGGTTCTCTGATGATTTCACCTTTGTTTGATAATAAAATGAATACCTTTCCTGTGGAATGCTTGGGTGGTCATATTTTGTGTGAACGTAAACACACCATGTCCTTGTCCATGTTGAAATAAATAAATAATAATACATTATTTGTCATTGTATATGTTCCGGCCAATAGCTAAGTGAGTATTGTAGATGTATTTTATCTTTGTTTCTACATGTGCCACATCACATCCATACAATGTCCTAAAATAATACTTTTCATAATTGCAATCCTGTAAATAAATAATAAAATTCAACTAAACAAACACGGGATTTCATTCCACTATCCATAGATAATATAACCTAAGTGCAATTACTGTACTGTATCTTCCGGCAAATAAATTTGTTCTTGTGGAGTCTGACGGCCTCTAGTGGTAAATTATATGTACTCCCAGTTAACCCAACAAACCACTTGAGTCTCGGGAATTTAATCAGACAGAATATGGTTTAAGATAATTATGGTGTATAATCTAAGACACACGACAGGCCTCAACAACACACAGCTATCTTTTAAAATTATTTGAGAAACGTTCACGTACTAGGTCTATCTAGGTCAAACAAGTTGAGCAACTGCGAAAGTAAAGTCACATGCACAATTTACCAAAATTGCTTGCAAGCTTGCTCACTGTGGTTTCTTGAAAATATGTTGTCATTGAGTAATTGTTAATTTGAAATTTTAATTATCAGGTATTTAATTACAGCAATTGGGTGTCCAAAAGGTACGTTGTGTTTGTGCAATATCTAGTGGTGAACTGAAATATTGTGGTTGCATCTCTCGCACTGCTATTTCTGTCCAAGCACGTATGATAATTCAACATAGCCTCACGGTGTCCTTAAAAAACAAATAAACGTGCGTGTGTGTGCTTTTTCGAGTCATGCGAAAAACATCTGACAACCCACAGACTGACCACTCCGAGGACTCCCTGCAACTGAAAAGGTGAGCGTAGGGATATTTTTTTATCTTACGTGTCTACGAGTTGGTTCAGTACTACAGCTTTAAGTAAGGATTATGTATTAATACTTTATTAAGCTTTTTTATTTTTCACAGTTGTTTTTTCTTCTCTTTTTTTCAAATAATGCAATTAGTGGATACATCTCTGGTTATTTAAAGCGGGGTTTTCTTTTAATCAGTTTAATGATCACATTTTATTTAACATTTTTCATAATTCTTATCCAATAAATAGACTTTTCAGACCCTCATGTAATATCCCCCATGTTTATGATAATGTAATGACAGTTGGAATAGAACAATAATTTATTTTTGCAATCTGTTTAATTCTTTTAAAACATGCACATTGAATTAATATTTAATACTATTTTATTCTTCAGTAAGGGCTGAGTATAAATAATTACATTTTACTCTTTACATTTATGATGTCAAATCTACCAGAGTGAAGAAAAAATCATGGAAAGAATAGATTACATAAAATAATGTATTGGAGTGCAAATCTGGTCATAAGATTAAAACATAAAGGGATAGAGTAGAGATCTCAGCAGGAGACGCCTAGAAAAAGCCAGAAAGACTGGAATAACGTGGTTACCAACTGCCGTTGAAACAACACGACCACCTGTTTTGGGGGGTTGTGTTGAAACCTGGCAACCCGACTCAGAGACACCAGTGGAGAGTTGACAGGAGTAACAACAGTGAGCTTTGTATTTATAGACAAAAATATTAACTAGAGGAGCGACTGCACTTTAGAGTCAGCGATTGATCGTAACTTCACAAAGCCAGGGCTATACCAGCGAGATATACCGCGTGTGTAAGTCAAAATACTTGTTACGCCCTGTTTATGACGACTTTATTAACTGTGGTAGCGGAGTTGTTAGCCAGTTAGCCGAGCCGTTAGCGTATACACTGACGTTAGCCAACGCAGATGCTAGCGTCACGATGTTTTTGTTTTGAATCATAGAACAGCTGACAGACTGGATTGTATGTAAGGACTAACGACAGGCCTTTCAACTAATCCGAGATCTTTCATTTTCGGCTGTCCAAGGTCAGTTGTGCGGTGATTGTTTACCTTATTAGAAATGTAACAAAGCTTGATCGCTGACTGTTGATTAACACAACATTAAACTATCGGGTTGAGCTAACAAGCGAGAATGATGAACTCCAAGGCCTGTGGAGGAGTTTTTTCTTTTATGAACAGTGACTTGTTTGTATTGTTATCGCTGGCTTTTATTGAGCTTATAATACGAATAGATGTCGCTGATTTGCGCTGTCATTCGGGACTGTCGTTAACTATAGGTTACAACAGGTTAAAGTGTTAAACCATTTGGAGGATGTCCTCCCCGAGGTATATGTGTGCCACAGAGTTGTATAATTCTGTTCAAAGATCAGATGTTTACAAGCGTGTTATTACAGAGGTCTGCGTTCTCCATCTGTGTGGTGTATCTGAGGCTGTCTGTCCTTACATGGCATGGATTTAACACAGGTGATAAGTAAAAAAAAGGCTGATGATGTCTTTACGTTGACAGGGATAGTACAGTAATGTCAATGTTATAGTTATTTCCTAATTTTCACAATTTGAATAAGCCATAGGAAGAACCCTGAGATTAGTGCTCTAGATATAATACATCTGTTAATGCATGTTATATCACTGACTAAGACTGCACTGCCCCATAATGTTGCACTCCCCCCATTATGTAAAACTGTATTTAAAGCAAAGAACGTTTCTGGCAAAGTGGTCTGAAGGAAACACAGGACATTTCCATATGCTTTGGGCTTATTAAGTTATTTGTGTCTATCTACACTTAAATAAAACTGCTTTATTGACTATTGGCTTTATTGTCTGACTCAATCACCTTTGCCTAGGTAAAAAAAATGTAACAAGTTGTGTAGACTTTGTGTTGTTGCTATTCAAATGAAAATAGGATAAATAAAAAATCTTGACATCTAGATTGCATTGAATTATAATGCAGACAGGCTGTAATGGTTGTGTTAGCACATATTTTTCTACTAAGGAAATACACAGCTGAAACTAAGCGCTGACACACATTACAATGCTCCACTGTACTAAAACATCCAGGGTTTGGCTTTTTAAAATTATGTTCATCATACAGTGGTTAATAACTAACAACAATTGAGCATCAACACTTATCGTTTGAAACTAAAGATCTGTGGTTCCTGAAGTGTGGGACGGGCCCCTCTTAGGGGGCATGGAACCAATGCAGGCGAGGTGCAGCAAGCCAAATGCATTTGAGTTATAATATTGACCCACAGTTGGAACTGATTTATAATTCTGTAATTATTGTTTGATTCCTGACAATAGAAAAAAAGGAACATTTAATTCTATTCATTTAATTAATATTTCATTTTAGTATATAAGGACCCACAAAGCATTGCTTACTAAATACTCTTAAAACTAGTCAGATAATATGTTATACCCTTTTGATCTCCTTGTATGGTTACAGATTACTTTTAGTATTTATAGTACTATTTCTAGTAAATCCATAATCTTTCCTTTGTATTTTTACCCAAACTGTATATGAAGGCCTTTTTCATTAAAAACTTGCCAATTGCATGTTTTTTTGTTATACTAAGAACTAAGCTGGTAATACGTATGTGGATTTTTGCCGTAGTGCATAAAAGCATCACTCTGGCCCAACAGTCATGAACATATGGTGCTCTGGTGGTAGGGAAATGCTGACTCGCTGCATGTTGTTGTTGTCGGGTTGAGGATCTCGCTTCACTCTGACTCCTGGCCTCAGTTGGATGGGCATCAATGACACAGAGAGGCGGAAGCACCTGGTGATGCCAGAGGAAGTCTTGTCCCTTTCTCTGTGTGAGTTTGTTGGCATTCATTTTGGTTAATCTAAGCAAAAAAACATAATCTCAGTGAGGTAGTGCAGTAAGCTGTAGTGATGTTCACACAGGGACTGTGACAGAGCAGCCCGTGCTTCCTTGGAGATACATCTCACATTTTTGTGGTTTACAGGAAATGGATGAATTTCACTATATAAAGGACAAAAGGTGGTCACTAAGATTCTGGCTTCTTTAATTGGAGAATACACTTGGAGGGTGTTTTTCTCAAGGTAAGGCCTTGGAACAAGCCATAAGGACATTGCCCTGCTATCTTTCCTATTTCATAGGAACCTCAGCATGCTGGTCAGGTAGCCTTGTAAAGGTTGAAGGTGATTTCAAAGGCTGCCGTGACAGTCCTGGCTTGAACCACAACAGTATGAGAAAAGATGGGGAACACAGCGACCAAGTTCCGTAAGGCTCTAATCAATGGAGACGAGGTGCTGGCTCTGCAGCTCTACGAGAGCAACCTACAGTTTAGGGAGGCTTTGGACCCCAACACTACTTATGGAGAGTCCTACCAGCACAACACTCCTCTGCACTATGCTGCCAGGCACGCAATGACTCACCTACTCAGGTAGGAATGGGACCATATTTCCAGACTGAATCAAGCAAACAAGAGCAAACTGGTTTTGTCACTCAAAATACAGCTAAAAGTTAAGGAATGTAAACATATTTCTCTGTCTTAACACTATTGTGTATTTTGTGTCCTGTTGCTTTTCAGCTCTGTGTTTATCTACTAGTTCATTCCACTACCTTACTGTTACATTAGAAGAAAAAAATGTTTTATGTATCAACTCCAGCTCTGACCCATCTGTCTCGCCAATGTAGCCATCTGTTTGCAGCTCTGAGGAATGTAACACGCTGGGATGAAATAGAATAAGACTGAAGGAGCATCCCACATAACAATCACACAACATTGCATGTGTTTGTCTACCCAGTTTCCCCAAGACTATTTTTAATTTGCTTTTACAAAACTTGCTCTTTTGCCTTTGTGTTTGACTTTTGTCAGCTGTTTTGACAGTGAAAGTCAACAGAACATGTGTCTAGTGGATGAGGAAAATGAATGCGTAGTGTTCATATGTTAAATATGAAAAATATAAAATACAAGAACTGGTGCTATCGATTTTTTTTTTATAATCAGTTAATCTATTGTTTATTTTTTCTTTGTTTGAAATAGGCGAAAAAAGTAATACAAACGTAAAAATGACTTTTCAGAAAATGACAAACATCTTGTCCGATGATGTTTTATTAAAAATAATTGTTTTTTGTTTTTTTTTTTTTTAAAAAGAGTACCTGAACCCTAATTCTGTAATTTTATAATAAAATTAACAAAAGACAAAAATCAAGTACCAAGGCATGTCAGCCACTGTAATTTATTCCCTGTGTTCACTTGCAGGTCTTTCCTTATACACAAAGAGGGAAATCCTAACAAGCGCAATGTGCACAATGAGACATCTCTGCACCTGCTTTGCATGGGGCCTCAGATCTTAATCTCAGAGGGCGCCCTACAACCTCGCATTACACGGCCGCATGAAGACGAACATCGTCGGGCTGAATGTCTACAAATGGTCCTGGCGTGGACTG